TCCATGCGCTAATGCGTCAATTTAATCAGCAATTTGAAGAATGGGTGAGCTTGCCAGTTGACCGAGTCCCTAGGGGGTCTTTTCCAGTACAGAAGCCCTTAAGTCAAGAGGATGATTCCCGTTTTATTTGCATGTGGGATGGAGCAACAAGGAGTGGATCACACTCTGCTGGTGGACTGGTACTTTTCGATCCGGCGCGGTCGCTTCTTTTGGCGAGGGGGGTTCAATTCCCTCAGATTGATGAGCCTAAGATGGTGGAATTGCTGGTGCTGCGGGAGGCGATGGCTTGGTGTGTGGAGAGTCGCTTATCAGAAGTCCGGTTCGAGGGGGATGCGAAGGTTCTTATTGATAAGATCAATCAAGCTGACGTAAGGGATAGCCGGCTGTGTGCTGTTTTGGAGGAGATTGATCAAAGTTTGCGCGTCCACTCTGGGTTTAGTATGCGATTTGTAGGTCGGGAGGACAATAGGGTAGCTCATTCGGTAGCTAGAAAAGCCCTCTCTTTGTACCCGACTGTGTGTCGCTTCTTTGATTTCCGGGTCTGGCTCGTTTCCAGGATGTAACTATCTCTTTTGATCAATATATGATATCTTTTGACAAAAAAAAAAAACATAATTAAAGAAATCTTCATACCTTTTACCAATGTTTTCAAAACCAAACCAGATTTTGAACTGAAAAAGTTAGTGGTTTATCGGTTAATGGTTAATCGTTGATAGTTCAGTTCATGGACAATAACATAAAAAATTTATAATACACAGATTTAGGATTGAATTTATCACTAATCGTAGACCATTTCAAACCTGTATCATCCATCACCAAAATATATACCAAATCTTTCAAACTGTCTCATTAAATAAAATTCAAGTGAGTAATCAGAGTGGCAATCGGTAGTGGACCACATAAAGTCGACAAAGAGGTTGAGAAAAAAAGAAGAAGCATAAATAAAATTAGTAGTTCATGTTAGATGGTGTTAGGTTACGATGAAGTGTTTTTTTTTTTTCTTCAAATTTTTGTTGTGATTAAAAGAGTGAACCACTGGACCAGTAAAACTAGAGTGGTTAATCAAATGTTATGTCCAATTTTTAAAAACCGTTTGGTATATTACTAGTTGTTCAAGTAAATAGATCGGATTGCTATTAAATGAGTACCGTTAATCCAATTCAATTCTTATAACAATGCCTTTTAAACTTAGGAAATATTTAAATGTCAATAAAAGTTTTTATATCCAAATGACTAATAATTCGAAACAATGTTAGGAAGTTGGAACAGTTGAATCACATCACTTAGGAGTGGACAGTGGTGACAGAAGCTGCATTGTTGCCGGTTCCTTTGATAATTTATAATTACTCTCTTCATCATCAATCATAATAGGGAAAAGCTGCATTGTTGCAATAATTCATCATAATTCATAATCCACCATGTTCGTAAAAGTAAAATCAATGACCACTAAAAATTTGGGTTAATTGCATGGTTGGTCACTGAGATTACAAAAAACGTTCATGTTTGGTCACTGTAAATATTTAAATCCAATCTTGGTCACTCAAATTAGTTAAATGGTTCAAGTTTGGTCACTCTCCGTCCAACTCCGTTAAATTTGTCTGATGTGGCAGTCAACCCTCAAAATTGACCGTTAACTCAGTGACGTGGCAATTAAAAAATAATAAATAAAATTAATTTTAATTTCCAAATCATTTTCACATTAAAGTAAAATAAATAAAACAAAAAAAATTACAAATAAAGGGCGCTTCCTCCGTTAATGTCGGCCGAAAAGGACGAGCGGCGGAAGGCGGCGGCATTCATCAAGTTGGTCCACCCCAAGGGCATCGTGGAGCGGCTCACCCGCCCGACCCACGTTCCCTATAACCGATTGGGAATGCATAGCGACGACCCAACAACGTCAGCAGCACTGTAGCACAATTGTTTCTCTACACCAACACCCCCAAATCAAACACCCAAAAACAATCAATCAACCCAATTCGATATCTAATAGAGTATTTACTGTGTTGACGATATTAATTGATTCAGCTGCAAAGAAGAAACGAGAACTGAAATTCGAACCTGAAATTCGAAACTCGTTCTCTGTTTTATACGCGAGCCATTCGCCGGTCTCCCTGATCTTCTTCTCCACCGGGCCTTCGAAAGGGTCTGTACTGCGGTTGCTGTCGTCCTCCGATTCCAACCACAAATCGGCAATCCCGGACCCGCGGCCCTCCGCAGCGCCGGGAGGCTCGGCGTCGCGGTAGCTTCCGGCGCCAATCGCGCGCTCGACCCTCAGAACCTTGAATTGCTGCCGGAGAAGTTTGCCGTTTGCATTATTACTCTTCTTGAGGTTGGTCTTGCTGGAAGTTGTTGCTGGGAGGATTAGAGGAGCTTTGGGTTTAATTGGGTTCTGGGGAGTGGCGGGGGGCCCGGTGGTTCTGGTTTGTGGCGACGGGGAGGAAGAGCTACCGGCGGCAGGGTTTGTGTTTGGAAGGGCTCGTTAGGGGTACAATCGCTTACAATCCCTATACCTGTCGAGCTGGGGTTTTTGGGGAATTAGTGGCGAGGAAGCGTCCCTTTATAACTGTAATTATAATATTTTTTATTTTAATTTAATTTGAAAATGAGTTGGAAATGGTAGAAAATTAAAATTAATTTTATTTATTATTTTTTAATTGCCACGTCACTGAGTTAATGGTCAACTTTGAGGGTTGACTGCCACATCAGACAAATTTAACGGAGTTGGACGGAGAGTGATCAAACTTGAACCATTTAACTAATTTGAGTGACCAAGATTGGATTTAAATATTTACAGTGACCAAACATGAACGTTTTTTGTAATCTCAGTGACCAACCATGCAATTAACCCACTAAAATTTAAGTGGTTTATTAATACAATCTCTTTAGGAGATTTTCAATTACAAACTACACAGTAATTGGAGATTCATATCACACCTGATTAGATAACTAGATTGAAAACATCCTTATAGTTTAATAATGGAATTTAAATGGATATAGATAATAGAAAAAGAATGATGCATAGCTCTTAATCAATTAATGAGTTGTTGTCTTGTAACACAATTACTACAAGCCTACAAACAATAACGACAGAGAGAACTTTGAATCAAATTGGACGAGAATAACAAGCGATAAGACCATATCTACACACAACATAACTGAAAATAATCCACCCAAATTAGCAAATAATCGCAGGAGATGATCCACGGAATCCAAGCAAAAGTGGTTGTCAAATCGGTTTATATCAGTATGCCGGTTTAGCAAGTGGAATGGTTTAACCGGTGGCACATACCGGTTTGTGCCGGTTCATGCCGGTCAATTTTAAAAATAAAATTATAAATACTCCTATTTAAACATGACAGTTAACGTCAATACCTAAACATTTATACTTGAATCCAACAAATAACATCAATATTTAACTTTTATACTCATAAAATAAATAATAAAATAATTTTTATCAATTAAATTCTCTAAAATAAAGTCATTTTACTTAGAGTTTCGTATATCGATCATGCCGGTTATACTGGTGGTGTCACGCCAGTTTTATGACCGGTACCGGTTGAACCCGGTACAACCGGTGGCACGCCGGCGGGCGTGATAACCATGAGCAAAACCCTATTTTTTCCAGTCATTTCCATTATATTAAAAGTATAATAGCTCAAAACAACAATTACTGTACATTCAGACTGCTTTTTCTGTTCATTGTGACTCGAAATTCCTGTTCACCGTGTTCTGATTGGCTTACGGAATAGAGTGGGCCCTTTGCGTCACCATTTGTTCTTTTTTCTCTTGCTTTTGTTTCGGAGGGATCTTCCACTCGCTATGTGCGCTGTGCAGCCTGCTTGGCCCTGGCTGCGCGTTGGTCACAGGGAGACTGAATGGGCCCTGTGTAAGTCATGGAGATATTTCCATAGGTTACTTGGTGGATTGTGGTGCCACGTTGCTCTTTTATTTTGGCCACTCATTTAACTTGGCCGGCACAACCTTCAATGTTTACTTTTTCTTTCTCTCATCATTTTTTTTTACTGCTGGGACTGGGAAGAGGGAACTGAAATAGGCCCTGTGAAGCCAGAGATGAACCATCTTGCTATTCCTCTCTCTCGCTCTCCTTCTCGCCCTCTCTCTGCTTTTGTTTCTATCATCTCTAATTTGGAAGCAAGTGGAGCTTGAGCGATCAGCCGGCGATTTTGGGAGACCGAGAGATGATTCGAAGGACACAGATCCGCCAGGTCAGTTTCCCCTGTCTTTGGTGAAATCCCCCTCCCCCTCCTCTTTTCTTAGGTCGTGTTCGTGCTCTCTTTCGTTCTCACTTCTCAAAATGGGTTGTTCGATCACTTTTCAGAGGATATGCCGTACCGAACTCGCTGTGGCAGAGAAAGGTGGAGAGATTTTCACTGGCATGACCAATTTTTCTGTAATTTGAGATTTTCCAGAGGTTGTCCGAATCATGTTCGAGGAATCCTTGGTAATAATTTTCATTCTTTCTTTTGGATTTATTGAGGGAGTATCTCACACTTTAGTGTTCCGTTTTCTCAGATCTGCAAACCCACGACGTCAAGTTCTCGAACGTCTCAAAGTTGTAAAGATAGGAAGTCAGTTGAAGACCTCAATCTACAGGTTTCATTCTGGTTTTAGGTAATTGTTCATTCTCTCCCTGTATCTTTCTTTCTCTCTCCATGTTGAAAATGATGGTTCAATGATTTGTTTTGTTTTTTTTATACTAAGAGAAAAGTGGAACGCTCGGTTGCTCAATGGATTTGAACAAGCTACTGAGATGTTCACAGAAGAGGTTGATCCACGGATTTGAGCTAATCTAAGGTAGCTGTTCTTCTGCCATGTTTGTTTTCAGTAATCTTACTTGGGGTTTCCTCTCCACTCATTCATTTCATGGATTTATTTTTATTCTTTTTTGGCTGGTGCAGTTGAAGATTTCTCAGCGTTATTGGCGGTACAAATCAATCCAGGAGCTCATTTATTTCCTATGAACTCAACCTCTCCGTTATGTATCCTTAATTTGTCAATCTCTCTCCTACGACAGTCTTTTTATGTTTTCTGTGATTCTTTGGCTGTTTGGAGGATCCAATTCATCGTCCATGTCGCAGGAATCATATCTGACCCAGGTGGTTAAGCTCCGTACAAGAGAAGATGCAAATGTGAATCTCAACTTTAATAGGTTGGTCTTGCTTTCTTTAACCTCAGCTTTTGATTAATTTTGACGGTCCCATATTTGACTTTCTTCTTTGCTCTTTTCCAGCTAATATTGTGGACACATGAAGATATTGTTGGGTGTTAGATACAGAGGCTTAACTTTACTACTTTGTAAGGTGTTCTATTCTTTGCCACCGCCATGGTCTTTCCATCCTTATGTCTCTGATATTTACTCATCTCCTTTTCCATGTTGCTATCCATCTCTTTGTGTTTCTTCAAAAGCCTTGCAGTTGCAGTTGGTTTACATCCAAGTTTCAACCTGATTATTCTTTTGTGGAAGTTATTTGTGTTGATGAAAGCTCAGTCATTGGCATCGAGATATCAAGAAAGGCAAGTAACTGTGGGGAAACTATTTTATCAAGGAAGAAAAGGAAAGAGCAGATACAGCAATCAATCAAGGAAATCAAGAATGACGGATTGATTCACCAGTAACGGTCGACTCAAGAGTGAAATAAAAGAGGAGTTTTCTGGGTAGAATAGTAGAGTTCTTTTCGGCAATTTTCTCAGCAAAGAAAAACAGAGTGTTGTGCGTGAGAAAGAAAAGAAACAGGGTTTTCAGGGTGAAAACTTGGGTATCAGAATTAAGAAGTCAGGGTAGAGTAGGTGCAGGGAGCAGACTCTACAGGGCGACTCTGATCCAGTGACAGGAGGTCACTTTGAGATCAAACTCAGTGTTACTTGTAAATCGATAAACGAATAAACATAGTGAATCGTCGAAGGTCTCGAGATAGAGATCCTTCGACCGTGGATTAGTCGGTGTTGGGTTCATTAATCACCTAACACCGGATACCACGTAAAAATTGGTGTGGTGTCATTTTTCTTTTTATTGATAAGTTCTGGTCTGCATTCTAATCTGTTTACTGTACTTGGAGGAGTTCTAGGTTACGTGATTTGCAGAACAGAGCAGGTGAACTTACACGAGAAGAAGAAGAAGAAGGTTTAACTGATACTTGAAACGCAGCGTTCTGACTTTTACAAATCGGGCCAACTTCAATTGACAAAGCAAAACTGAATCAGGCCCAAAGCTGTGTAACAATCCATCCCAGGACGGTGTCGTGTAGGTAAACTCAGAAAGAAACGTTCAATAGCATTGAGAATTGATTTCTGCCTTTGCTTCCCATTCTTCTCACTTGATCTTGTCAAAGTCGAAATTAGGGTTTCAGGAACACAGTCAAACGAAAGAAGAGCAAATCGCTGTAAAAGTCTCGCGCTCGACTCATTCTACACGTGGTATCAGAGCCCGGCTCCGACGAAAGAGGCTTAATCACCTTCGGAGAAAATGAGCTCAAGCGCAAACAGCGGTGCGATCTTTATGGCGGATGGATTTTCACAAACAAGACCCCCGAGATTCGAAGGAGTGCACTATGGGTACTGGCGCAATCGAATGGAACTCTTCATCGGCTCCACCGACCCAGATCTTTGGGACATCATCCTCGATGGTCCACTGGAGGTCAAGGGAGTTCGAGGAAACTGGTCAGACACAGACAAGAGGAACTATCAAATGAATTCCAAGGCCACCAATTTGCTATACTGCGCATTGGGACCAGAGGAGTATCATCGAGTCACTGGATGCAAATCTGCCAAGGAAATCTGGGATAAACTCCAGATAGCTCATGAAGGTACGACCCATGTGAAGATTTCAAGAATAAACAGTTTGAAGCAAGAATTCGAGTCATTTGTCATGAAGCCTGAAGAGTCAGTCAGAGAGATGAATGAAAGGTTTACAACGATTGTCAACAGTCTGATGAACTTGGGAATCATGTACGAAAGCTGCGACTTGGTCAGAAAGGTTTTATGGGCGCTACCAAAGAAATGGACGCCAAAAGTTACAGCCATTGAGGAATCAAAGGACCTCACTAAACTAAGTCTTGATGAGCTCATGGGGTCCCTAATAACTCATGAAGAAAAGCTGAAGAAAGAAGAAGCAGAAGAGCCAAGGAAAGAACGAAGGAGCATTGCATTCAAAGCAACAGCTCAGGAAGATGGGTTCGACAGTCTTGATGAAATGGAGGACGAGGAGTTAGCTATGCTGAGCAAGCACGTAGCTAAGTTACTGAGGTTGAGGAAAGAAAAGAGAAGAGGAGGATTGTTGAATCGATTCAGAGAAGGAGATGAACAAATCAAACCAAATCGATCACTGTCAAAGCCAAGAAGAGAAGGAGCTGCATCAGATAAGCAATCGTCTCAGGCAGGATGTTTCAAGTGTGGAAGGATAGGCCACATAAAGGCTGAATGCCCAATGCTGAAAAGGGAGAAAGCGTACACTGCAACCTGGAGCTGCAGCGAAGAAGAGGAAGACGACGATGAAACAAAGGCAACTGCTTACATGGCTCTGGAAATGAGTGATGATGACTCCAAATCACCTCAGGTAAGTCATCTTGACTATTACTCTGATAACTACAGCGAATCTGAAGAGATGATTGATACAATTAAAAACATTCAAGAAGAATTTGAAAATGTTAGAGTTAAACATGCCAAACTGAAAAATGAATATCTACACATAAATAATGAATGTGATAGACTAAAAGGAGAAAAACTAAATGTTGAATGTCAACTTAAGAAATGTATGATTGAAAATGAGGCACTGAAAGCTGAACTTCTGGCTCTAAAAGATGTAGATGTATCAGACACTAAAAGCTGTAAGTGCTGCAAAAAGGGTCCTTCTAGTCTTCCTAATCAGACTGTTAGCAACTCAATTATTAAGCAGGGTCCTAAGAGAAGAAAGTCAACAAATACTGAATGCTTTTATTGTCATCAAAATGGTCATTATATTGCTAATTGCCGAAGAAGAATTGCAAAGGAGAACAAAAAATGTCATAACTGTGGACATTCAGGACATGTAAAGAAATACTGTAATATAAAATTAAGGATATCCAAACAGGTTTGGATACCAAAGATCAAATAAAACCATGGTTATGCAGGTCTGTCTCCAAGTGAGCATGGATGACAGTGAATGGATCCTGGACAGTGGCTGCTCACATCATATGACAGGTATACAAGAATTATTTTCAAAAATTACCCTAGGAAAGAAAGGTAAAGTCTATTTTGGTGATAATTACAGCACAAACATCTTAGGAAAGGGTCAAGTAGGGTCAAATCCATCAATTAAGAATGTCATGTTAGTTGAAGGTCTTAAACACAATCTGTTGTCCATAAGTCAAATGTGTGGAACTGAGAATCGTGTAGTATTCGAACCAAATGCATGCTATGTCGAAAATATTACAAGTAAACAAATTCTGTTCACTGGAAAAAGAAAAGGAAAATTGTTTGTCATTGACTTGAATGATAAATCCTTGTTCAATGAAACTTGCTTAGTAACAGTGGATAAAAACGAGCAAATGGACTGGCATAGAAGACTAGGGCATGTAAGTGTAGGAATCTTATCAAGATTAGCAAACTTAGAACTAGCTAAAGGCATTCCCAAAATTCACAGTAAAAAGGAATTCTTCTGTTCTGCTTGTGCAAAAGGCAAACACACCAGATCTTCCTTCAAAAGTAAGCTTGTGATTTCAACTAAGAGACCACTAGAATTGTTGCACATGGATTTGTTTGGTCCCACTAACATAAGAAGTCTTGGTGGAAAACAGTATGCCTTTGTTGTGGTAGATGACTATTCTAGGTTTACTTGGGTTCAATTTCTTGCCTCAAAAGATGAAACATTTGAAAACTTTAAGATTCTGTCTAGGAAACTTGAAAATGAAAAAGGAGTTAAAATTGTTAACATAAGGAGTGATCACGGAGGAGAATTTATTTCTGATAAATTCAACTCCTTCTGTGATGAAAGTGGTATTGCTCATAACTTCTCAGCTCCTAGAACTCCTCAGCAAAATGGAGTGGCTGAAAGAAAAAACAGAACTCTAATAGACATAGCGAGGACAATGTTGAATGATTATGGATTAGCCAAACATTTTTGGGCAGAGGCTATTAATACTGCATGCTATGTAACTAACCGAGCATTAATCAGGTCCAAATTGAATAAAACTCCTTATGAACTGTGGAAAGATAGAAAACCTAACCTGGAATACTTCCATCCATTTGGATGCAAGTGTTTTGTGTTAAATACCAAGGATAATCTTGGTAAATTTGATGCAAAATCGGATGAGGCAATATTCTTAGGTTACTCCCCACATAGCAGAGCCTATAGGATTTTTAACAAAAGGACCCTCAAGGTTGAGGAGTCCATAAATGTTATGTTTGATGAGTCTTCGAGTGAGTGTGCAGAAAGTTTAGATGAGACAGGGGACTTTGGACTTGGAAGAACACTCTCAGAAGAAAACCATAAGGAGACTGTGGCTAATGATCACAACACAGAGGAAGAGCTAAACAAGGAGGTGATAGAAGAAGAACGACAGGCTCCACCTTACATAAGGAAGCGTCACCCTCCCTCTCAGATCATTGGCAACATAGAACAAGGTATTACTACTCGATCCAAATCTTCTGATGTTCATACTGCATTCGTATCACTCATTGAACCTAAAAATATTAAGGAAGCCTTAGAAGATGAATACTGGAACGCCTCAATGCATGAAGAAATGAACCAATTCAAAAGAAACAATGTATGGGAATTAGTACCTAAACCTGAGAATAGAGTAATCATTGGAACAAAATGGATTTACAGAAATAAGTCAGATGAAATAGGTAAAATTGTTAGGAATAAGTCAAGACTAGTGGCACAGGGTTATAATCAGGAAGAAGGGATAGACTTCGAGGAAACCTTTGCTCCAGTAGCAAGATTAGAAGCTATAATGCTATTGTGTGCTTTTGCTGCTTCTAAAGGTTTTAAATTATACCAAATGGATGTAAAGAGTGCATTTTTAAATGGTGATATAAAAGAGGAAGTCTATGTGTCACAGCCACCTGGTTTTGAAGATTATGAATTTCCTAATCATGTCTATAGGCTAAATAAAGCTCTGTATGGGCTCAAACAAGCTCCTAGAGCTTGGTATGAAAAACTGAGTCAATTCTTGTTAGACAAAGGATTTCACAGAGGAGCAGTTGACAAAACATTGTTTATCAAAAATGAAAACTCTCATACACTGCTTGTTCAAGTCTATGTAGACGACATCATCTTTGGTTCCACCAACTCTGCTCTGTGTAAAGAATTTGAACATGATATGAAAAGTGCTTTTGAAATGAGCCTTATGGGTGAACTAAACTATTTCTTAGGATTGCAGGTTAAACAGACTAAGCTAGGC